AAAGAAAGGATGAGATAAAAGTTAGTAGAAGGAAAACAAGTTGGTTTCTATTACATTTGGTTTGGGTAAATGCAGACCAAGCAGTTTTATAGAGTCATTCACGGAAATTATAGTTGGTTAGGGTACAAAACCACAGGGATCTGTCTATATATACAAAAAAGAAGATGAGCAAAAGGAAATGAAAGAGTCTTAGGGACATAGCAGAAGAGTGGAAGAGGAAGATGAAAAAAGGGGTTGAAAATGTCTGCCTGCTTGATTATCCATGTTCTTGTATAGAGTCATTCACGGAAATTATAGTTGGTTAGGGTACAAAACCACAGGGATCTGTCTATATATACACTGCTTTTACAAAAGAAAAGTCCATGTGGAAAAGGGGCTTAATTTTTTTTTAAAGGCATCTTTGATATGTCATATAAAAACAGTTGTTTTATTATGTTTTCTACATTCTTTTACATATGTCCTTTAAAGAATGAATTATTTAAAACTCATTCTTTACACCAGTTTTAATTATGGATTGTTTTGTCTCTAAGATTATTTTCTTCTTTACTACAAGGGAGCCATCCAATAGGAAACGCAGGGCTATGTTAAGAACTATCATTTTATTTTGGCCAATGAATTCTATAAAAGTGATCTTTGCAGCTCTCTCAACACCATTATCAGCTGCCTCTTATCAGTATATGTTCCATTATTACCATTTCTGTGAAAAAAAATATCCTTAATACTGAAAGGAACTTTCAAACAAAAAAAATAGCCTTCTGTCGTGTATCAAGGTCATGTATAGATTATTTAGCTTTTAAGTCAATATACAATGCTTTAAAATATCAATATGTTAGGAAGAAGGGTTATAGTTTAGGGTAGTAGCTGGTAGGCGTGGGAATATGAAGAAAGATCACTGATATTAAAGTCCTTTAAAAAAAAGTCAGATAGAAGCCCACCACTGTAGAAGATTCCTAAAATACGTACATAGACATATATAAAAAGAATTTAAATAGAGTTACTCTATAATGGATTGAAAAAGCCTCCACAAGACACCACAAGTTAACAATTGAAAGAGCTAATTGTCATAAAGGTTATCTCTTACAGAGTTTCTGACCAATGAGGTCTCATAGACTCTCAAACTTTATGATAACTAAGAAAAAAAAATGCTCATCAGATTTCCCACCTATGAACTCTTAGAGTTACAATGATGACTGGCATGGCAAAATATGCCAGTTCCCTCAACAGTGACTTAATATCATGGGAATAACCAACCACTTTCTTATTAGCTTTAAGACCCAGTCACAAGATGAAAAGCATCCATACTTGGCACTATTATTGGGGACAAGAACATGTAACTAGATACGTCATAAAACCTATATTCTGCTAAATGTCTACAGTGTTAAACAAACTCCTTATGACTTGTTAAATCCACAGTGTATCTTTCAACCTTCATCAGACAGATGGTGATTAACACTGAGAGACACAACTAACCAAGGTGCAGAGGGTAAGGGAATGCTCAGCCCTAAATGAACATCCATATCAACACCCATTCTTCCCAAGACCCAGGGACCATTCTGCCTAAGGAAAAGGAAAGAATGTAAAAGCCTGAGGTGATGAATGACTACCAGGAAACACTCTCTCCTGGATGCAGCAATACAAGTTTTACATTTGAACTCCCAAGGCCTATACAAGTTCAAATTGGGCCAAATCCCAGCATGGGAGAGTGTACTGGCAACTGAAAGTCTCTGGGAGAGGAAGAGTTGGTTTTGTTTTTTAAATGTATGTTCTGGTAAGTAGACCAAGTTCCAAGGCCACACTTCAAAGAATGCATAAGCAATCCAAATTGTACAGGATGATTAAAAAATAAATAAATAAAAGGATTCAAAGTTGGGTGGGTAGAGAAACACAGTTGTACCTGGGAGAAGTTAGAATGGAGGTAAATATTAAATCACATACTGTCAAATAACTAAAAATTTACAAAACTAAAATATCAATGCACATTTTATCATTTTATATTTTCCTATACTTCTGCCATTCTTACAAAATGTCATTGGCAAATTCAAATCCTCTGTTTTCCACTTACAACAAAAATTTGACTAAGGAGCTAAAACCTAGAAGGAAGGAGATGAAGTCAAATACCTGCAGAGACGTTTCTGGGTGATTTTCTCTCAGCACTGGGGCAGGTGGAATTTCTGGAGGAGGCTTCGATGTTTTCTTTTTGGCTTTCTGCATTTGGATGTTGGTGAAATAGTTGACGGCAGCAAACTCAATAAGAGCCGAAAACACAAAAGCAAAGCAGACAGCTATGAACCAATCCATGGCAGTCGCATAGGATACTTTGGGCAACGAATGTCGGGCACTGATGCTTAGAGTGGTCATCGTGAGGACTGTGGTTATCCCTTCAGTGCAAAAGAGCAAAGAGACACAGCATTTTACTGCTATTTCTATAAAAGGACAACTAACCCAAAAGGAAAAGGTGCAATGACGTTTACAAAGTTACTACTGTGTGAAACCCACCCCCTTTGATAGAGGGTTTGATCCTTCTGCTTCTGTGAAATCAGCACAGGTTTTGGAGTAAGAAAGAGATATGCTCAGTTCTGGCTCCTGTCATCAACAGTTCAGTGTGACTTGGGTCAAGATTGAAAAGCCCACTGGGACTTCTCTGTACATTCTAAGATTACTATAAAAATACAAATATGTAAAGTATATATTGATTTTGTATTGGAAGCTGAAACAAGAACCCGAGGAATCAATATATAAACCTCCCCAAAAAGGAAGATTAACTGAAACAGTGACTCTCAGACAGGAATGGGAAGTCAGATAGGAATGCTTTCTAAATGGAAGCGTGAATATACTAGGTAAGCAAGGTCCATTACCACTAATACTTATTATTTGAAAAATCACAAATCATCTATAAGTTCTTATTAAATGACTATAACTTACTGAATAAAATTAATACATTCATTGTCAAAACTACAAGTACATTCTGGCTAAAGGTACTTCTGGAACAATTTGGCCCTTGAAATGTGGGCATCTGGCACACATCATTGTACAACTTGAAGCAGAATTCCTGGTACAACAATAGGGCCCTTCTTCCATCAATTCTTTTCTGAAGTAACATTTCTAGGAAAAGTGCCTTTTAACCTAGAAAGTTGGCCTCCAACTTTGAAAAATACTACTTGTCACTAGAACTACAGAACAATGCAATATTTGAAGGTATTAACATTTGCACAATTTTCTCTATTTCCATTTATGTATATTTATCTGATCAGTATTATCTAGGTTATCCTGGCAATTGCTGGGGGATTTACTAGATCCATTTGTCCTCATTCAACATAACTCCTAGAATAGGTCCTGAAGTTGATACACCTAGGTATCTGTGGATGATGGTGATGGTGGCAGTATAAATGTTGGTGATAAGGACAATGATGAAGGTATCTTAACTGTATATGTCAATCAATGCCAATCCCCAGCTTAAAGGCAATTATTCCCTGACCAATGGAAAATATAGGAAATTTTGCAGCATTAAAGGAATGATCATACTTTTATTTGAAGAAATAATAATACTGTATCTTCAACTTAAACTCTGATTATACTATGCCTTTGTACTATCCCTTTACTGTTACACATATGTGAATGTAGAGAGGAGTGTAAGAGTAGCCTAAGATTGTTCCTAAGACCAAAAGCAATTATTTCAATATGCGAGCTGATGTCTATTCATGTTTAAGGATTAAGAATTTTGGGATAATTAGCAAACTTAGAATTAGAGAAATTTCAAGATAGAAGGCCTTTGGAAAAAAAATCAAACACCCTGCTTCCAGTTTGATAAGAGTCACCATGCAGCATGTTAAATATTGCTTCAAGGATCACCAGTCATGTAGTGCCAGATGCATCATAAATGTTCAATTAAAAAAAACAGTTTGGTTATGTTTGTTGTCCAGTTCCAGTCCCTCCCTAAGCTATCAGTTCCTAGAAGATAAAAATTTGGAGCATCTGTGTATCATATGAGCTATAAACTTTTAGAGAACATTCTAAAATTATATATCAATATGTATTACATAAGTTTTTTAATAATTTTAGGCATTTTCTTCGTCTAAAGTAAAGTTTTGAGATTTTATTGTGTGTGTGTGTGTGTGTGTGTGTGTGTGTGTGTGTGTGTTGTCAGGGTTTCTGTTCTGCCTGGTCCCCATAATCAAGTCCCAAAGAAATCACACAGAGGTCTACTTATAAACTGATTGGCCCATTAGCTCAGGCTTCTTATTAACTCATAACTTATATTAGGCCATTATTCTTGTCTATGTTAGCCATGTGGCTTGGTACCTTTTTTCGGCAAGGCAGTCACATCTTGCTTCTTCTGTGGCTGGGTCAGGACTACAGAAAGCAGAATCCTCTTCCCAGAATTCCCCTGTTCTCATTGTCCTTCTTCTACTTCCTGCCTGGCTATTGGCCAATCAGCATTTACTTAAAATATAATTGACAGAATACAGACCATTGTCCCACATCATGTATGGGTATGCATACGCATATGTATATGAATATTATATGTTGCAGGTGGTCCGAGACCAGAAAGCTCATTGGATCCCCTGGAGCTTGCATGGAAAGCCACTATAAGCCTATTTATGTGGATGCTGGAACTATGTGGGTCCACTAGTAGAGTAGAAAGTACTCTTAACCCCTAAGCCATCTTTTCAAAACCCCAAAGTAGATTTTTACAAACTTTATTCCATTAAATAGATATATTACTTGCATGTCTACACCAACGACACATTGGACCATAGTGAATTTATCAGGCTTTTTCCTGAAAGAGGCCTTCAAATATTAGGCCTCGTTTTAAATGTCAGTGAAAAGGCACAATTCTCCCAAAGAATATGAAACAAACAAACAAACAAATAAATACTAAGGTAAATTCAGAAACTTTAGCTACAAAGTTTGAAGATGAATTAAATTTCCTCTTGCTTATAACAATTTATCTATAATAGACTATTAAGAATTCGAAATATTTCACAAGTTCTACAATGGTTGTGTACTGGGCTTCTTCTAATGCCACAGAAATGATTCTGGAAGTACTAGCAGTAAAAAGCTAAGAGTGTGTTCTAAATGAGAATACTACCCAGTGCTCAGAAAAGTCTCCAGAGACCATACTGTGCTAACAAAAGAAAAAAAAAAGGAAACTCAAATTCGAATAAAGGAGCTTATGAGTCCCCTTACTACTGTAAACTTTGTTCTTGTTTCAGGTAGTTGAATGATTTTTGCTGCCAGTAAATTTTTCCTGTCTTCCTCTAGCCTATTGTCATGTGAAGAAATAATTCCTAGGTGATATTCAACAAACAAAATACTAAAGTCATTACTGAGTTATATATTGAGTAATGAAATTCAGTTGTTCAGAATGAGGTTGATGGCTTACCTTAAATCACACTGCTTATACCAACATAAAAGAATGGTACATATGGCTGGTTTAAAATTTGTCATTTCTTTAGGCATTAAAAGTTCTCTGTCTTGTGTTCAAATTTGAAGAATGCAATAGGAATGGAGGCACGTACTTATTCCCTTTGATTTCAGGTATATCACTTGGCAGAATAAACACTGATTGAACAGAAAACAGAAGCTATCTCTTTCTACAAGAATCTTACCCTGAAAACATTTCAAAGAGCTAATTATTTTTGTGTGTTCAAGTATTGTTGCCAGTCCGTGCATTTAGACTGCTGAATATGCACCATATTAGCTGGCCCAGGCGCGGAGAGAGGAAATGAAAGAGCAGGCTAAGACTGTACACAAGAGTGAATTTTTGGCTGGCCATTCCTAGAAAATGAAATAGCAATGATTTCAATATGCCAGCTGGCATCCACTTGCGCTTAATGTTTTACCGTACTGAAATAATTTTTTAAAAAACCTTAGAGTCAGACAAATTTCAAGATAGAAGGCCTTTGGAAAGAATTCCGCATATCCTGCTTCTCAGACTTGAGTTGCTTCAGGGTTTTGCTCACCTTGGTGTTATCTGTGACCCAGCATACTGTTCCTCTGTGAGTGGAAGAGGGGCTGAGAGCTGAGGAAGAGTGATATTAGCCTAGAGTTCAAATTCACCTACACCTCAAATGGAGTAAATAACCAATGACCCCAACCTTGTAGGGATTAACTTCCCTAAGGGAAATAATATTCTAGACCCTTGATGATCAGTCTAAAAATTACAATTGTGAAATAGCCTTCGTTTTTTGAAGATTTAATTAGAGCTGTGATTTCCCTCAGTGATCAAAACTAATATTGATCTAGGCATACATAGGCAGGCAGATCTCATATTCTAGATAAAAAAAAAAAAATTCCTACTGACAAAGTGTTCTCAATCAAAGTTCCCAAATTCTTTGCAAGCCCCTTCCCGGCTCCTACGTGTCATAGCTTCTGTGAGAAGAACAGGACTAAATTCTCCATGTTATAAATACTGTCTTGGGTGTACCACTTAGAATTCCATGGCTTGATAAAAAGTTTTTAATATCTCTGTACTGTTTCCCTTACCTATAAAAATTGAGAATGCCTAGCTTGCTGAACTGTTGTGAATGTTAAGCAATAGGACTGCACTGTGTTCATCTACTCACTGCTGGGATTAGGAATGCTAGCATTTGGCTAAACTACTTAATTTCCTTGCACGGTCTTGTTTGTATAAGAACCGTTAGTTGAAATCAGCTGGGATGGATGTTACACCTTCCCACACTACTGAATATTTATCTTATTCATGGACAAGTAAGTTCATCAACAATAATAAAATTATGTGCTATGGATTTTTTTCAACTGTTTTACTCAGATTAGTGCATTCAATCCTCTAAACAATCCTAAGAGATAAAGAAATTTAACTTCTTTTCGTATGTGGGTTAACAGACAAGTATCTCACTGAACACTATATATATGGTAAGTATGTGTGTACATATATATGTACATTTTATTTTATAATATAAGTATATACATGGAGGGAGAGAGAGAGAGAGAGAGAGAGAGANGAGAGAGAGAGAGAGAGAGAGAGAGAGAGAGAGAGAGAGAGAGAGAGAGAGAGAGAGTGTACAGGGTCAAAACCAACATCTGTACTTGTAATAGCATCTTTTCTTCATAGATATCTGTATTAGGCCACTATTTTCAAGTAAATTTGTTACTAAATATTAACAAAAATATAAGATTCAAAATATTTTGATGATCTTAGATCGAGAAATCTTAAGATTTGTGTGTGAATATGGTGTGATGTGTGTCTGTGCATGTGCTCATGTGCATGTCCTCACGTGTGCTTTCTCATGGATGCCAAGGAAAATGCCAGGCCTCTTCCCAACCACCTTAATTTCTGTGACAGGGTCTGCCACTGAGCCTGGACCTCACCATTTTGGCTACCCCATCTTTCCTGTGAGCTCCAAAGATCTGGTTTTCTGCTCAACCATCCTCGTCAGTGCAGGGGTTACAGACACTTTCCACTGTCTGTAGCTTTTACATGGCTGCTAAGGATCCAAGTTCAGGATCCCATGCTTACACGGCAAGCAGTTCACCAACACAACCATTTCCCCTCATTCTTGATTATACTAGAGCAAGCTAAAAGACTTGCATATCACTCTCAGCCTCAGCAGCTCCCTCTTGTCTTGTCAGGCTGCCTCTGAACATAATGTGGTAAGACTCCAAAATCTTTATGAGTGCTATATAAGAAAAGGAATGCCAAGTACTTCAAACTAGATGGGGGTACACACCAGAAAAACATTTTCCCCGAAACTAAGGAAACCAAGAATAAAATTAATCTCTTTGCTAGGTATGTATGGGAGAGGGAGTATAGATTATACAATCAGTTTCCTGTATTAATCACTCTTTAAACCCTCCATAAGGTCTTAGGATATTGCAATTCCCTACTTATATAAAGGTCCCTAAATGAGAAATTCATCTATATTTATTTTAGGCATGGTGAATGATTGTGAGTTTCTACATTGTCCACTGCACCACGTAATCACTCTGATAAGGTGTGAGAGCTGCGCTCATCTATGGGTATGGGTATACAAATCTAGGGGCAGTTCAACGCTATAATCACTTGGTGTGATCATAGTGGTAGTAGAGTCACTTCTGGGATTTTCTCTTGTGGAGCAGGCCTCAAATGCAATCAGAAAGTGGTTTGTTGCCCCCACAACACTCATGCCAGTATTATACTCATGGGAATATGTTGCCATGCTGGTCAGTTTTGTAGTTCACATGGTTTACAGCTGGATAAGACTGCCGATGACTTTACAAAGCACCCTGCAGTACTGTGCAAGCTAGCCAGCAGGGAGGCAACCTCCTGGTCAGTACCAACTTGCTTCCTCCATGTCTCATGACTTTAGCAATAGGGTCTTAATATCAGCTTTTGGTTAGCAACTAGAAGCCTGTTTTATTTGGGTGGAGGGAAGTATCTGAAACATACCTAACCTACAAATTGAGTGGTGGCATCCCTCATTCTGGCAGAGAAGTTTTTATTTGATAAGTAATGGTGTCTGCCTTAAGTGCTTGAGTACTGGTCTAAAATGGTATCTCCGGACATGAGGGCTGATACACTCAAAAACTCAGAGAAATTGTGGTTAATGCGTGGGACCTGTACAAGATCAAGTAGATAACATTCTAGTGGGAACAGGAATGAGAAGAGCCCACTTTCTAACTGAGGTTCATTAAGAGTTGATGGGTCCTTGGGGAGAGAGAGTCGGTTTTCTTTAAGCCCCTCTTAGGTCTACCATACTCCAGTGGGAACCCCACATGTGTAAGGATATCAGTAGCACAGGTTGGACTGTGTGGATTATTAGTCATAAAAAGAGAGTGAACATAAAGTTGAGAGAGAAAAGAAGTTGGAGGATGGGCCTGGGAGGAGTTAGATGGAAGATTGGGGGATGGTGAATAGTATCAAAAGACACTATTCTAGTTTAAAAACTAATAGAATGCTTTTAAAATCTTCACCAGCTTTGAAGGGTAAGTATATTAACTCAATTAATGGATGGAGGAAATAAGTGACATATTTGAATTTTAAATCCTAACCTTTCAATATTAGTATCTAATCCTTAGATATATTTTCCATATTTCATTTTCACATATATTTACCAGATAACATTTGTTCCACCGTTTCAATGTGCAGTTATTTAATTAAACTTTCATAACTTTATGAAGTATCTTGAACCATTATTCCTGCTCACTCTCTGCCTTAGATACCCTACCTCTAATACTAGCTCTCTGTATGAGTTTCGACTGTGATTCAAATACCTTTAGAATTACAGAGACACTGGTTATATGTGGAAGAAATACATTTATAAAAGTATTTCCTATTTGCTGAAGACACCAAGACACTCTTATGTGAGGATGGGGAGTGCTTTGGTTTGAATCCCAGTGTTCTCAGAGGGTCATGTTTTGAATTCTCTATCTGCAGCTCATGACACTACAGGTTGTGAAACCATTCAGAAGCAGGACCTGCCTGACAGATGTATCTCATTAGATGACTCTGGAGGTTACTCCAGTCCTGGCAACAGCGTATGCTCTCCACTTCCTCCCCACAACCGTGACAGCAGGTATCTGATGCTCCTCCCAGGGCCAGTGCTGCTACAACTGTCTGCTTTGGAATCTGTCTGAAGCCACGAGCCATAATAAACCTTGACTCCCTGAGCTGCTTTTGTAAGGGGTTGCAGTTATAGCAAAGTAAGATGAAAAGTTCCCATGAATTCCTCACCAGCATCGCTGCAGTTGTTGTATGACAAGAAATGTTGTACCCACAGTTAAATCCAACCAAACTGAAAGGCAAAAAGGAGAACCCAGCATATTTCAGGAGACTGATGCCTCCACTCTGTAAGAAGTCTCCTCACTTTCTTTCTTTTCCCAACACTTTTTGTTCTTAATATGTTTCTTCTGTGATATTCTAAATGATAAGCCTTTTAGGATGTATAAGTTTACCATTTTTACATTAAATAAGTCTTTTATACATCAGGGATGCTTCTATATCTTCTTATTATTTACAGTTAAATTTATTTATTGTAATATAGTTCTTTATTCTTTATTCCTTTTCAACTTTATCAACATCATTAAGAAAAAATACTAGTTTAGAAAGTAAAACCGGAAGTTATGCACATAGGATACAATAATGAGCTGAGAGAGTGTGCACAGAATACCTTCCCATTCAGTACCTTTAGACCTTTTGCATTTGTTCGTTTTCTCTAAAAAACCAGGTTATTCTAAAGCTTTCCTGTGCAGTCAGCCATGACTTTTATTTGTTTTATTTTAATCTGTCTATGCGCTTCATTTTAACACCTCGACTTAATGTTAATTCAATTACACAGCATTAGGCCAGCAGACCAAGAATGTCACTGACAGAGAAATTATATCCACATTTCCAATTGGTTTTCACATGACTGGCTCTCAAAAAGGGAAATCTGACAAGACGTCAGAAGTGACAGGTTGCCCTTATCTCCCCCAAGCAGCAGCGTGTTATAGTGACCAGTTAGAAATGAAAACTTAAACAGTTCCTTATTCAGTGTGGTTTGGTATACAAGTCTGTAATATTTTCTAAGAAATATCAAAGGGATCTTACCATGAGTCACCACCAGAAATGTAATGTGAACAAAAGTATCCAAGAAATAAATTGAAATTACCAAACACAGTTCTAGCTGGAACAGACTCCTTATTTATCCAGAAAGAAACTTGAGAAAGGATCACTGTCATAATACATGGGATATACGTCTGAATCATAAAATAGCCCATCTTCCGTCTGAGGTGGAAGTAAACTGTCATAACAATGTATTCACCTGCCAGGAAAATGAAGAAAATACATTATTGGTCCTGTAGGAAATTATTCATTCGCTTCATGCTCGTATGTTAGACTAACGATCAGCATTCCTAGCAAATCAATTGTCAATTATCTCTGCATATTTCAATGAGAAGTGCATAGTTCCCTACTGTGGGCAGGAGAGCAAAAGAGAAGATGATATTGAATATCGTTATTATTCAGAAAATTATATTTTCTATTTATAGATTAAGCAATTTAATCATGGGCTATGACTTCACAAGATGACAGTGTTTTCTGTTTTGAAGGTCTGATATGCTAAAGCAATTATCTTTCATTTTCAGTATTTGTGTGTATGTGTGGTATATGAAAATGTACATATTCATGTGTGTGCATGTGTGCACACACTGTATGTTCACTTTCATGTGGAAGCCAGAGGTCAATGCTGGACATTTTGTGACTAATTCTGTAGCTGTCCTATTTCTTTATGCATCTACTTATTTATTGGTTTGTTTGTTTATTTGACTGCCAGTCTGTCAGTGAACCTCAAGATAAACAGTTCCTAAAGCTGGTTGACTAACAAACAGGATCTTTCTGTCTCTGCCTACACAGTGCTAAGATTGCTGGCACAAACCATCCACAACCGGCTTTTCACATGAGTCCTAGGGATCTGAACTTGAGTTGTTATGCTTCCGCAGTGAGCACATTAGCCACTGAGCAATCTATCCAATCACAATATTCAGCATTTTTAAAAGCAGAATTTAGGCTTGGTATTTATAGAAAAGCAAATGAAAAATGTAAACACACAAACATACATGCATACAAAATGAAAAGCTTAATTTTGGAAAGACATGAAACATAAATTTCTATAAAAGTTATATAAATACAAATATATTTTACTCAAACGTATTTTATACCAGTACGTGTACACACATGTAGGGAGAAGTTGTATTAATTACATTTCTACATGCCTCATACATAAGCAAAGATACAAAGATATCACGGAAATACAACTTTAAAAATTCAGGAAGTAAATAAACAATTTACAACCAGCTGACAACCAGTTTTACTAGAAGAAATATAGAGAGACTGTTATTTAGGATCCAGTGAACATTCACTGTTTAAGCTAAAGATTTATAAATCTCTACTCCCAGACATATTTTCAAACCCACAGATAGGAAAATCAACAAATTCAGAATGTCATAAGAAACAGAGGTACCCTGCTAGGAGGCTGTTGCATTGTTTCATAATTAATGTAAAGAGGATATGCCAGAAATGATGATGCATGTGACAGGTACTAGAAAGACACAAGACACTGGAATTTACAAGCATTGTGGCTGAGGTAGCAGAAAGATTGTAAGAGCCAGAGGACTGGGAGGTTTGCTGCAAGATTGCGTGTTTTCTAGTTTGTATCTCCTATTGTAATACCGAAGCTACACCCATAATGTCTCGTCATTATGACTGTTTAAATGTGAACTGAACAAGGAAAGTACCAATGGACATGTCAAAGCAGAAGGAGAAAACCCCACACGGCTTCAACCCTACACAAGACCTATAGGCAACTCAAGAAAGTTAAGCGGGGGAAAGGTGGTCTTCCCCATGGATGAGCATGCCACTTGATTTTCCAGTGCCAAATACTCAGTCTTGAAAATAACACACCACACACACACACACACACACACACACACACACACACACACATCATTATTTGAGCTGAAAATGTTATATTTAGGAATAAACATGTTTATGCATACATAAATGCATGCAATAGCAATTAGTGAAAAAAAAAAAGAGGCCCTGAATTTGAAGGAGAATGCAGACAGGTATATGGGAAGGTTTTGGAGGGAGGAAAGACATGGAGAAATGTTGCAATTATGATCTCAAAATTGAAAACTTAAAAAAAATACACATGAGATTGGGAGAGAGAAACAATGCCAACACTTTCGTAACAGGGTACTTGGATTCATACAAAGCAGTTTCAAGTGAGGAGACTGCGACCCAAACTATTTCACAATGAGCAGCCTCATGAATTAATTTCAACTGCGAAGAATTAAATTCTCAACATTTCTTGTCCCTTGCTTCGAATTCCTAAGCCATGTTTTGAGGTATAATGTATATTCAAAATCTTGTCCATATTTAAAGTATATGCTACTTAATGAGTTTAGAGGTACACATTCATCAGTAAAAATGACAGACCACAGTCTGTCCTCCAGGATCCATCACCTCCAGAAGTTTCTTCTCAGCATCTTGCTTACTGTATTTTTGTGATAGGAACATCTAACACCCGTCCTCTATTAGAATTGTTAACAATATGCAGTAGGTGGCCAGTAGGTCCCTAGGGTTGCTTGTTTTGTGTAGCTGGAATGGTGAGCTGTGTGTTTGGGAATACTTGTTTCTCTGGAACCCCCCCCCCCAATCCCTAGAAGGCATCATCCTACTCTGCTTCCATGAGTTTGTCTTCTTTAGACTCATTCCCCTTCGGATGGGTGCTTTATCGATACAAATCTTAAAACAACAAAAGGCACCCTTCCTCATTTCACACCATTGTTCAAGATCTTACAATAACTACCCAGCTTTTGTTGCATTTGTTTTACTAGTACAGTGACATCCAAGGCCTGTTAAGAGTTTACAGAACAGAGAGCTTCTATGAATTTGGGAACTTGACATTTAATACCATTCAAATTACTTAAGCACATTATATTTACATGCTCCTCATTAGAAAAATATAAATGGCAACAGTACAATCTCCACAGATTGTTTAAAAAGAATTCAGTGCAAGGAAGGAATTGGGAATGACCCTGTAAGACGGTAAATACTGACTACATTTTAACTACCACTGTTGTCTAAATACTGGTTTTAAAAAGTCACACTGTGCCTTGCTCAATGTTACACCTTGAATTCCAGCACTACAAAGGCTGGGGCTGATGAAGCTTCATTTTAAGGCTATCTTGGGCTAAATAGCAACCTTCAAGGCATCCTGGGCTATGTGAGATCCTGTATCAGACAGAGGGATGGAGACTCACATATTGAAACCTAATCTTCAACATGATATAGGAACTAGTCTTTGATAGGGGATTAGCATATGAGGGTGGAGTACTCAAGGTCAGCATTAGCATTTATTTCTTCCTTGGTAATCCTTCCCTATTCCCAGGTTGAGGTCTCTTGGAAACTATTCCATGTTACAGGAACCAAGATCTCAGAAAGCACTGAGTCTGCAGGCACCCTAACTTTGATCTTTCTAGATCCTAGGCTTGAAAAAGAAGCCTAGGTTCTTTATATAAGTACCCAGTTTGTGATATTTTTATTGGAGGGAGGCTGCTTGTTTTTGCTGGCCACCCCACTAGCTTAAATCCCTGCTTGACCCATTAGCTCTAGCTTCTTATTGGCTAACTCATATTAATTTAACCCATTTCTATTAATCTGTGTACCACCACGTGGCTGTGGCTTACCAGCTAAAGTTTCAGCACATCTGACTCTGGCAGCGGCTCCATGGCTTCTCCCTGACTTTGCCCTTCTTTCTCCCAGCATTCAGCTTAGTTTCCACTGCCTAGCTAAGTTCTGCCCTGCTATAGGTACAAAGAAGTTTCTTTATTCATTAAGGGTAATCATAGCATACAGAGGGGACTCCCACATCATATTTTGGTTAAGATATCTTAATACAGTTTAAGTGAATTAAGATAACTATCATAAATTAATTATTCCTGGTAAAAATAAGTATGGAAGAAATACCATTTTGGAATAAGCTATAAATAGCCAATTTTCTCAAGATGGAAGCTAAAATTTAAGATTATTTCTATTCATATTTCAAAATCCAAGAATCTCCAGTATAGCCACCCACTCACTTATATGACAGTTTTAATGTGTACTCTAAATGTACTTTGCAAGTATGCTTTTGATTTTGGTTTTAGTTTGGAACAAAGGGCAAAAATGGCACCATACAATTGGGTAATGTTAAAAAAAAATTGAAAAGCACCACAAAATCAGAGCTCTCATATCTTGTTAAAATGGTTTTAACATATTTAACATTACTGGCTTTTGAATCTGTGTAAGAAAAATCTATTCATTTCTCCTGTCTCACAAACTCAAAATTTATTTTAAACTGAATTAAGAGTATAAATATATCAGCTCGACTTCTCGGGAAGAAAATTCCCCTGAAAACACTGAAGATATCAGTGAAAGAAATCAGACAAAACTCCATTTGCTGATGCCAAGTGGCACATTGACTTTCGCCATTAAAAATTTCACTAGGAGGGAGCAGGGCAGATATCTTAGTTGACAAAATTCTTGCCATAAAAACATAAAGATATAAGTTGAGACCACATTAAAAAAAAACATGGTGAGGTAACCCAGGCTTGTAATCTCAGAACGGGGAAGCAGAGATTGGAGGATCCTGGGTCTCATGGAACTGAGTGTTTGGCTTTCTTAGCAAGCTCCAGGACGGTGAAGGATCAAAAACTAAGGTTTTTAAGATGGACCCTGAGGACTGACCACCTTTGACTGGTCACATATGCACACTCATATCCACACACACATGCTTACATAAACACATGCGTACACACACATGTATGAACAAAAATGACACAGAGATGGAGAGGGAGAGACAGAGAGAGAGAAACAGAGAGAGAGACAGAGACAGAGAGACAGAGAGAGAATATGTGCATGCAATCTCACCTGTAATAGATTTGATAGTTTCACTTGATACAGTCTGCCCAATTAGGTCATACTGAACTAAGCTAGAAGACTCCTTTGGCACCTCCACTGATTTCTCAGGGCCTTTGGTCCAGGTATAGATCATCTCACTCTTAGGATACGCATCTGAACAAGAGCAGAGAGTGTGCTTACAGTCAGGTCTCCTCCTTCATCCATCTTAAAAATCAACACTTAACGTGGCAAATGCTCAACAAAAAAGGGAAAACAATACTCGCTTTGTCATTTTCAAACATGTTCATAAGTTAGGAAAATAGACAGATTAAACAAATTATAGGTTTCGCTGTTTTTATGTCAAAAGATGGAATGGGGTAGAGAAGAAAACTGAAACAACCGTAAAGCTACATTTGTGTTAGTGTAGGTGGTCATATTGCCATTCCAATAAGGCAGGTAAGTTGAAAAGCAGATAGTCCAAACCTCCTACCCAGTTGTTAGATTCCTAATTCTTCACTTCTTATCTGTCCTCACTTGAACAATTCCAAACAGCTCTGCCATCTAGAAATGTCCCAGATGCCACCCCTAAAAACGCAAACAAAACTCCTTGTGAGGGAGCTCTCCAGGGTCACCTGCTCTAGACTTTGCCTCTGGCCAATGTCCATGCCATTTGGAAACCATTCTGCAGGGTTCTGACTATGCTGGCTGCAAAGCTCCGCAGGGAATTGCACAGCCAGTCCCAGTACCTTCAGAAGCTTGCAATTAGGACACTTTCCCTTCTAACTTCAAAGACTCCTCCCCAGTGGCAATTTGAGTACATTTTCTGTTATTCCTTGCTCAGTGCAAATGGAGACCAGCTGCTTGCTTACCACTCTACCCAGAACAGATAGCTTGGCTCACGCACAAATAAGTTCAAAAGAACCGGAATGAATTATGTGTCATCCTCCCCTACAAACATCCCTAAAAAGGCTGAAATGCAGGAGGTCCCTGGTGAACTTGTATAATCCTACTAAAGGACTCCACACTCAGAGAGGTTTTCCTTACAGATGACCTTGGAAAATACACTGTGAGGCTTGAGTTATCATCCAACATTACAGAGCTTCATGTTAGCATTTATCCCTGAAAGTGTATTCACAGTGTTATATATTTAAACTATTGCATACTTTATTCTTATATATGACTTTTTTACATTGGGAATCATCTCTTAGATAAATTGAATTAATAGTGTAATCTTTTTCTTGCATTGTCTTTCATATTCCTCTTATTGTAAGTGTAATTAAATAGTGGTTTTCTCTTTCAAAAATTATTAACAATTAGTTGCTGTTGAGCAAAACAGCAACAACAAAAACAGCTTACTGGTATGGTAAACCAAAATACTTTCCAAAAAAAATAATTCCTTAACCACATATAAAGCCTGAGATAGCATCAGCTTTGCTTTAGTCACCGAAGAGTGCTTCAGATGAGACCCAGAGAGGTCTTGTGAGGAGAAGACTTTCTCAAATGAGAACTATCTTTTATAAAATTCAAATTATTACAATGAAAATGTAATTTTATTTCTGGCCCAGTAAGATCGCCCTCTCTGTCTGTGTATTTTTTCTGCTTTTATCTTGTCTTATTAAATCATTGGTCAGGGAGCAAATGGCTTTCTCTAGTCTCAAGTTAGCCCACTGAGTATTGTGATTACTAGGGTTATAAAAAGCATGGTGACTGCCGATTCTCATTAAGTCAAGCAATGAGCAATGAGAACAGCAGGCACCGGTTTCACAATCAGTGAAACGAAGAGTCTGAAGCAATAGTAAAAGCCAACATCTATTTTTGGGAGGTTCTGATTGAATCGAATGTTGGAAGCAGACCTTACAAGAGCAATCCCATTTTGTTGCCATCTCAGAGAAAGGAGCTTGAGGAAAGGAGCCTTCATATTCTTTACTACCCACTCATGTGTTCCTCTTGCCTTCATCGCTACTACATTTTCCAAGCACGTCTCTTCCACTTTTGCTCCTTTTGTGCCATGCTAGCCTAACCGACTGCCATCTTTGATGGCACGGAAACAGCAGGCACCAGCTCTCCCACACTTCCATTCCAGCCTCTCTCCAGTCCCTTTCCCAAACGGTGTCAAAAGAGGCCAGTCATGTCCCTCGGCTAAATCTTTCAACACCTTCCCTAGCTTTCAGGTGGAATCACAATCCTTAATGTAGTCAACAGTGTATCAGCCACTAAATTCTCCCACAGCGCAGCTAGACATTCGTGTCAGGTCAGCGCTGTCACTAACAGCGCTACCTATCATATTTTAACTCAGGTTATTTCAGGAAAATAAAAAACTTTTTTTTAACTTTTCCCCAAGCCACCTTTAAGAGATTTTATGTGTTGCTATTAAATCACACCCCCCCTCACAATGCCCTTTCTATGCTACACCTTGGACACATACAAACTGCTCCCAAATCCCTAAGTTTCACAAGTGTCCACAGGCTTATTAGTTATGACTCAGTCCTCAATAGCCATCTGTAAAAAGTAGGACTTTGTTTATAAGGTATCGCTTTATATTTTAAAAATTCATAATTTCCTAAACCTTGTACATTTTTTTCACGAATAAGGATTTAAATGCTGACTAATTAAAATTGCACAAATACATGATTATGAGCTTGAGGAAGACAATCAGCAATTTGAGCAATACTTTTAATGTCACTTACAACTCCCAAATTTCAAAGGGCAGGCATGACCATCCATAGGGAAATCCACCAGTCTCATGGGACACTCCGCACTTATGGTGAGTCTATCATGGAAAAATGCAAGTAAGTCAAGTCAACCCTTCTTTAAAATTAGAATTAGAGATTCCTAAAATTAAGAGATAGAAAAAAAAAGGAGGGGAAGGAGGAGGGTGTTGGGGAAAAGGGGTGTTGTGGATAAGGAATGTTAAAACAAGAAAGAAAATTCTATTACCTCATTGTGTATAAAATAGTGCCATTTCTCATAATTCTAAAAAGCTTATTTGGAGCTGTCATGTTGTGCGAGACAGATTTTTTTCCATTCCTGAAGAAAGTATCAGGGGTCCAAACTTTGGTGACCATCATATTGTTCAACCTCAAAATTTCAATGGGACCATCATATTTTAGTCTTTTGTCAATCCACGTCTGTCTGAAGAACACATCCATTGTATATTCCTAGAGAAGTTGGTTTGTGACAAAGTCAAGTCACAGGTGACTACATACATATATATGCAAAAAGTAATAAATTCTAACCTCTCCCAGTCATTAGAGTCTACATCAGTGGAAATTAATAGAAGCAGAGATGATCTTAAATCAACAGAACAAAAAGATTAAGAGTTAAATATGCACGCAACATCCGTCTTGATCCCTTCAGCTTCTGCATTTATAAGAAGTAAATCACCACACACATTAGCCACTGAGGACTAATTACTGTAATTAAATAAAATCTGCCAACACCAGGTAATTTTGGGTGTATGTTACTTTATAGGAGAGGGCAAAAAATCAGTTAAGATGTAGCAGGCATCACTACATAGTTGATCATAAAATTACAGGCATTTCTTTAAGATGAAGTCAACTTTTTTTTTAAAAAAAAAGATTAATTTTGTTTTCAAAAGTGTATTAAAAATGCTTAAAGAATCCAGGGCTTCAAACCATTAGAAGCCTCAGGTCAAGAAAAACATAAAGTAGACTCGCTTACCATTCTGTTTACTAAGTATATTTAATATATGAGAACACACCTGAAGGGATGTGGACTTCCTGAAAAATGCTGGCCCTCTTGGCCTCCTTAAGCATGAGAGGGAAGAATAGAAATCAAGACTGGGAGGCTAATAACTGAGGCAATGGGGAAACAAAAAGGCTAACAGAAATGTAATATTGTGCACACAATTAATCCATATCTAAACTACTGATGACCTCCCATTTTCTTCTCCTTGGTAGCTTCCATACAAGGGATTGGTGCGGGAGTAGTACAAGGAAAGATGCCTCTGTTGAGAAAAATTCCAAGTCAATACATACTAAAAATGATAACTGTGCGATGCAGATGAAATATCTTGCTCTCTAGAGAATTATGAGTTTAATTAAGCATTGGCTTTGTGTGATTTCACAATATAATAAATGTTAGTTGACTCTTTTCTGACTTATTTTTTTTTTTCAAACCTCCAAAGTTTCTCAGATACCTACCATTTCAACATCAGAAACGGGTCCAAAGCTGGTGACATATATGTCAGTTTTCACTTCTGTAACAGGACCTAGTAAGTATGAAGTAAATATGTGTGAAAAAATAATTATCAACATTACAGCCTTGGAGGACTAGATAATTAATAAATGAATACCGACATGAAATGTCATGTTTTTACATGCACCTTGAATTTTCAGTGAGATAAAGAATCTCTCTCAAAAAAAAGAGTGTAAAGTTCAGTTTAGAGTGCACATCCAAATCAAGCCAAAAGTAACAATAGAGAAAGAAAAATGGTGCTTGCTCAAAAGGCAAATAGACATCCCAACTACTTACCAAGAACCTGTTTCTACAATGATACATCATTCCTGGGCACTGGGATAAGAGGCAGTGCAGATACATACGAACTTTTAGCCTTAGTAATTTTTTTTTAAGAGTTCATCATCTGATTGGCTTCTAGCAAGAAGTGAGCTGTTCAGAGGAAGAAACAGCAGGGTGCGGAAGTGAAGGGGACCAAAGCTGTAAAGAGTGAGTCTTTGGGGAGTTGAGGATACTTATAAATAACTTCCAAAATGATTACTGTCACCTTGAACAATAGGAACACTCTCCATGGTGATTGGGATCCAAGACAAGGTCTTCTGTCAGTGACAACCATTCAGGCTGCACCACCTGTTGGCTGTGCGATCTTTACCAAGTTACTTAACTGGTTGATTGCAGCACCCACACCTGTCTCACAGATTTTTTTTATAGCAATCAAATGGAATGCTGAGCAAAGAGCTTTCTCATCCCAAAGCGCGTTCCATATTAGTTTCCCTCTCTTGCTACTGAGATTCTCCACCCTCTAAATAAATCTTTATCATGAGCAAGCATGTGCATGTTTAGCCCAGAGGGAAACATGGTAAGGGCATGATGCTGATATTGTTGACAAAGAAAGCAGACAAAAAAAAAAAAAAACACCACCACTCTCCAGGTTTAGCAATATGCTTTAAACCTAGGAAATTTTGTAGTTCAGATTTAACTCATAACCCTTCCTAGTTGTACAGGTTTAGTCCAGTAATATATCATCAAATGCAAAGATTTTAACAAGTATTAAATGTATTAGCTGCAAATCATTTTCCAAAGACATAATATGTTCATAATGTGTTCAGTTGTAACAGTAGTTATTATAGATAATTCAGCATTTTACCACCCATGAAAATATAAAAATTGTTATCCTCCTGAAGACTGTTTCCTTAAATAATGGTTTAGAAAGCTGCACGGCCAGAGGCTACATATTCTATAACTGGATACTATAGCATTTGCTATTAAAATAGAATATCACTTGGATACAGGTTGGGAAATTGGTTTTATGCCAAAAAAAAAAAAAACAGGAAAGCACAATTGGGGTCACTTAAGGCTCTAAGTCGGAATTCAGTCTCCAGAAAATGAATCTAAATATTTCTCCCTCTACAGCCTAGCGACGAGGCCACATGGAGACAGAGAGAATGAGGAAGAATGAGATATTATTTATGGAATAAGTATCCTAAGAAACTTAGGTTTTGGAATTATAATAAGAGGAAATTATAACACATGCTTTTATTTTTACACCATATAAAATGCACCTCTTTCAAGCGATAGAAGTTAATTAAGTTTTGGGTTGAATGGGAAACTAGAATCAACATTCAAATGGTAATAATAAGCTCATTACAGCCAAATTAGTCCAGAAATAAGTAATCCAGGAAGCAAGTAATTCCTAACATTTTGAACCCTAGGAGATAGAAATTTTACTCAAGTTGGCTCAAAACTGCTGTCATTTCCTTAGCAACAATTACAAAGGTATCAGAAAGCAGAAAGGCTGTAGTTACAAGTGAGGGCTCCAAAGACAAGTTCACATAAACAACTAAGATTTTTCAGTGTCCGTAAACATGAGCCATTTTACCAGACTCTGGGGAAGGCAACAGTTATTTTGAAGATAGATTTAAGGTAGTATTGCTCAAATGATATTGGAGAATATCCTGAACAGACTGGGGAAGTGGAGGTTGTTAGATACCGCTTCAGATCTTCTGACTTAGTAGGAATAAGGTTGGACCTGATGATTTGCAATTCTAAAATAGTTCCAAAAGGAGATGGTCCAGTTTACTGTTGTTTCAAACATCCACTCAAGCTGTTTCTCTACTGTATTTACAATAGTTTCCTATGAAATACTGACACTATAAGTGTGCCAAGAGAGTGAGTGTGGCAGGAACATTCAGGAGAAGAATGGGAACAATATTTTTCATTATTAATGCATTGAAAACCATGTGAGCCTATGTTAATTCTATGGATGTAATCATCCCATGATAATAAAAGATATTTCTAAATTCTCACCTATCTAAATTCTACTTTTTTTCAATAGTTCCAAAATACTGTTCTATGTTCAGAATTAGTCTTTGTGTGTGACATTATCTGGCATTTGCTTATGAGATTATACTGCACTTTAAGACTGAGTTAGATTCTAAATGTACCTGACTAGCAGAGGGATTTTTTTAGGGCATCCATTCAATAAATATTTGCCTAAGCACCAGCTACATGGACAGGTTATAGAGTAGTTCCCTGCATCAAGAAGATACCATGCTACTGGGAGAATCAGGGAATAAGCAAAAAAGAAACAAATGGAATAAAATGAATGACAGCTATTATTTCGGGATGGATACAGGCAGGTAGGAAAAGAAGAGGCTGTGAAAGGAATTCCAGATCTGTGTTCAGAATCACTTTTTCAAAGCATTCAGTTTCAAACTAGTCTGGAGCATATACATGACCTGGAAGCTTTGGAACAAACAACAGCAAGTGACAAAGGATGACAGTGGGTATAGGTCTTCCTATTTTTAAGGAAAAGAAAAGAGACCAGTTGGAAAAAAGCAAAGGAAACTGATAGGAAACTGAAGTCACAAAGAGAAATAAAACCAGGGTACCATGAACAGAGCATCCAACTACTCTGAGCCTTCCCCTTTTTTTAAATGGCATCTTTTAAGTAACGCACTTACAACACATGTTACAGTGGTACTGTTTAAACTACAAGCAACAGAACTTTCAGAGTGACAGGGAATGACCCAGAGATGGAAAAGAAGATTTCTGTGGACGAAGCTATATTTCCCACATTCACATGTTGAAATCCTAATTCTCAGTAACTTCTAATGACTATTTTTAGAGGTAATGCTCTAAAAATGTAATTGCATTAAAATGAGATTTTTTAATGGTACTTAATCCAATATGAGTGATTGATGGCTTTATGAAAAAAGGAGATTAGAACACAGACATGCACTGAGAGAGAACTATATAAAGACAAAGAGGAGACACCTTTTCCATGCCAACAAACCAAGCTTACTGATGTCTTAATACCTCCAGAGTTGAAAAAAAAAAAAAAAAGTAAGTTCTGTTGTTTAAGCTGCTAGTCTGCATACTTTGTTAAAGTAGCCCTGGGAAGGTGAGCCTATAAGAGAGCATTTTCCTTTTATTCCTCCCCTGGGTGACATGAATGTAGGCTGCCCTAAAGAGTTTGACTTGTACCCCATAAATACTGACAGATCATCAAAGGCTTGAAACAAGGAAGGATATGATTGAAATATGCAATTAAAAAAAAATCCCAAAGGCTCTTTCATGTGAATAAGTTACAGAGGGCAAATCGCAGACAGTGTCTTCTAAGAGACTTAAGTGTCTACTTAAGCTGATGGGACCAGAGTAGGGACTGGGAATAGTAGTGGATAAATCAAGTGGTATGAAAGGCCTACAATGAGAAATAAAAATAATCATTATGTAGTTAAGCTTTAGTTTTATGCCAGAGAAGATGCCACATTCATTCCGTACGACATTTCATCTTTAGCACACCCTTAGAAGGTGCTATTATCACTATCATGAGAATTTTATATATCTGGAAACTGGGTTCAGAGAGGCTAAGGCAGAATTCTAACTCTTCCTTGGGGCTGCCAAGATGCGTTCAGGTTCCACTACATTATATTATGCCATAAAAATACTTAACCAGTATCATTTAGCTAAACACGGAAGTTTATTACACAATCTCTGTTGTGCATCCAGCCATCTCTACATTTTATTTGTCCAACAATAGATTCTAAATTATATTCTTGTAGCCCTTTGTGTCTTCCTTCAGTCTCCTTGAATCTGTGTTTTTAGCATTAGCAGTTGAGATGAGATTTCAGTCTCTTTCAAAGTCCCAAATTAACACAGTGCTTTGTAAATATGAGGTGCTAATAATTGTTTCATTGTTTCTAATATCATTAATCATGATTTTTTTCAATGCTTCTCACAAATTTCAAATGTGAGACTTATGTGCTACATGGGTTAAGCTAAAAAATATTTCCCAATTAAAGCAGAAACTGTCTGATTTTTATTTGTATTCTTTCATACAAGCAGACTGCCATGTAAAATGCAATAGGTCTCTGATAAACCAGTTGTCAATGAATAATGGTAGCTAAGCAATTAAGAATAATTAGACACACTTCCTCTAATGCTACTATTTAGGATGTTCAAATCAACCTTGCAAAGTGCATAATTGCATAGAAACTAGACAATGAGCTTGGAAAGATTTCTTCCCCATAACTGTAGATATATTTGGGGAACATCAAAGACACTTTTTTTTTTCTTCACAAAAATCCTACTTCTTTGGTAGTGGGGAAATTTAAATATTATTTTTTTAAATCTTTTGTGGGGAGACACTTTTGACCCTGAGAGTTTGTTAGGCAAAGAAAGTAATCTTCATCAAGAGTCAGTCACACAAAGATGTTAATATTAACTTCAGGGAAATAAATGGTCCTATCAAATTAACTTGCTGGAAGGCAATTAAGAAAGTGTCAGATAATCCTCCACTGTTTATTCAACAGTCAAAAACCTAAAGAACATCAATCCCTCATATTATCTCCAATAATGATATACAATTTACTGTCATATCATAAGATAAAATCTTGTTTGACTGTTTGAGGACTAGTTAATCTTAGTTCTCCATAAAGTCTCCCCAGCTATTCCCCCTAGGAAACATTCCTGATTTTCAGCTCTTCACATTATACACACACCTTCATCTTACAAAGTGCCAGTGCTATCCAA